ACGAAGATCACTATAGATTGTGATGATTAATTTATGCAATTTAACATTCCAACAAGAATTTATTTATTTTTGTCAAAGTAATAATATTGATGCTGATGATGATTATAGTGGTGCATAGTAAGGAAGATGAATGATGTGAAGTGATGGATGAATGGTGTCCTTAGTGTCCAGCAGGCCAAGACAACAACGCAACACGATTACTTAATTGAATCAAGAAAGCAAATAAGGGACCCCATCCACCACAAAAATGGACCATTAAGATTGAGTCCCTACAAAATCAAGATGCCTAAGTTGGATGATTGCGACACAGTTTTTTCATCTGCAGAATCCAATCAATAGTATCTTTGTTCACATTTTTTAAATTTAACAGTTAACAAGTGAGTGGGGAATTAGTGCTGATCTAACTTCGCAAGGCAATGATAAACTTGCAACATGTATTTTCGCTTCTTTCTTAAAACTCAAACAGTCACATGCCACTTTTCTTGATCTTTACTATGTGGAGGCGATGACATGTTCTAGTTGAGCTGAAAAGTTTGGTTTAAAGATACATATCTAAGACATAAAATGAGCACATCTTGAAATCAAAGAAATAAAGACACATTGTAAATGAACCAAAAAAAAAAAAGGGAAGATAAAATGAGTTGGGGCAGACAATACCAGTAAATGAGCCACTATTGCTAATTGTAATTACTGTTTCTCGCCTTATTCTTGCATTTTGATGATCAGATAAAATAAAGTGGAAGGCCTCAAAATCATTGAAAGAAAAGTTTGGAGGAAAGAGGAAGCTGCCTTGAAGCCACAAAGGTTTTAGACAAGGAAAAAACACTAGAATACTAACTAATACACGCTTAAGTCATCATGTAGTGGATGAATATAGGATTCTGAACTCCATTTGGCATTCCAAAAACTTTCATCAAGGTTTTCATCTCTCACAACCAATAAATAGAAAATTCAACACTAAATCAACATTTATAAAAGAAGAAGAACTAATAGCAAAACAATATTTTTGACGCTTAAAGATTGTCATCGAAGAGAACCAAAAAAACAAGTTACGAAACAGAAATAACTCAACTAGTATAAACAATACTACTGAATTGATTTTGTCTATGAAGTAAAAAGACTGATACAAAACTGGGTGAAATAATTCTATATCAAAAAAGTGAACAATAAACGAGCCTAATAGGGAGATAAGAGGAGTTATGTTCCGCTTACAATTTGTCTTCGAAATCAGAGAGTGGAGTCATCTGTAGCTTCAAACCTTTTCTCTTCCTGATATCAGCTACCAATGTAGCAGCCTGTGAGCCAGCCTCCAGCGGATCAGAAGACATCATGTCCCAATGGTCAAACACACACTGAGGAAAGGCTTGTCCTGAGGTTGCAGCCCTTAGCTGACCTGAGAAATTAAACGACTCGACCACAGGAAGGTAGGCTTTGATGTTGTAGAGAGGTGTTCCTGGCCTTTGCATTTCTTCAAACACATGTCCACGCTTCTGATTCAGCACACTGTAGATTCCTCCCAAAGCTCCCTCAGGTGCTTGTATCTCGACCATGTAAACCGGCTCAAGAAGTCTTGGCTTGGCCGTGAGCTGTGATGCATAGATGGCTCTTCTTGCTGTTGAGATCATCTGACCACCTCCTCTGTGGATTGCATCAACATGGAGCACAACATCACACACCTCATAACAGACCCCTCTCATGTTTTCTTCTGCTAAAGGGCCTTCCTTTGAAGCCCATTGGAAACCAGCAACCACTGAGTCCTTGATTTCATTCAAGTACTGCACTCCCTTACACATATCAACCACCATGTTGGGCCCTGTGGTGTCAGGTCCAAATGCCCATATTTTCTTGGCAAGATCCTTGTCCCATCCAAACTCTTCTGCAAGGATCTTGGATCGGATCTTGGGATCATCAGATGGACCGATGCGACCTTCATTAATAGCCTCTGCTAGACCATCCTCCATTGGTCTGGCTTCCATGTAAAGACGGTTGTGCTTGTTTGGGGACTTACTCATCACAGTGCGGCAAGACCTCTCAAAGACTGTCTCTCGCAACGAAACAACAGGATCTGACACTATGATCTCCGCACCACCCATAAAATCTTGAAGATCCTTGACACAAATTTCAATGTGGAGTTCTCCAGCACCTGCACCAATGTGCTCACCAGACTCTTCCATTGTGCATAAAACCATAGGGTCAGACTTGGCCAGCCTCTTAAGACCTTCTACAAGCTTGGGAAGGTCAGACGCTAGCTTGCATTTTACAGCAACACGAACAACGGGAGAGACAGAAAACTTCATGGCACGAAGCGGGTGTGCGTCCACTTCCTTCTCATTCGTCAAGGTAGCGTTCTTGGTGATGAACTGATCTAGCCCAACCATAGCAACAGTGTTACCACAAGGAACATCCTCCACTGTCTCTTGCTTCTTACCCATCCAAATGACAGTCCTCTGCACACTCTTGACATACAGATCTTTCTTTTCACCAGGGACATAGTTGGGACCCATGATCCTGACTTTCATACCAGTAGAAACTGTACCAGAAAAGACACGACCCAAGGCAAAGAACCTACCCTTGTCAGATGCAGGAATCATCTTAGAGACGTAGAGCATCAAAGGACCTTCTGGATCACAGTTTCTGATAGCTGCAGCATACTTATCATCAAGGGGACCTTCATACAAGTTCTCAACACGGTACCTCTGCGCAGTGTAGGGTGATGGTAAGTGAAATATCATCATTTCAAGCAGAGCAGTACTCGCAGGGAGCCATGCCTGCATGACACGCTTCATCAAAGGTTTACCCATCAACTCTTTCTCATCGGGCTTCATCTGAATACCAAGCTTCTCCAACATCGGCCACAGCTTATCCTTCTGGTCATTCATACAAGTGTTGATCATCATCCTAATGGGTTCATAAATCATAACATAACTGAACAAACCCACGCTTGCAGGTCGCGGAGCCAGTGTTTTTGGTCGTCCATTTTCTGGTTGCAGGATCAAAGAAGTTCTCACCCCACAGCCTCTCCATCATTTTAGATTCAGAAACACCAAACTTGGAAGCATGCATCTTAGCAAAATTGGTAAGAGTGAAAGCCCATCCGTGGAGACCAGCAGAGAAAGCCACTGTCCCCTTTTCAGGGTAAACCTGAACATCACCAAGGAGAGGATCCTCATACGTCGCCATGATGACATTAGCATTCTCAATGACCCTCTGGAAATTCTGATAAGCCTCTTCACCATCAACCTTAAGCTCAAGGAAACACCTGTCCATTTTGTTGACAGTCAAAACAGGCCTTATCCTTTCACCAAGAGATTGCCTGAGCACAGTCTCGGTCTGCACACAAACGCCTTCAATGCAGTCAACAACCACAAGAGCACCATCAGTAATACGGAGAGCAGCAGTGACTTCTGATGAAAAGTCAACGTGTCCAGGAGAGTCAATGAGGTTGATCAGGTACTCATTGCCATCTCTAGCTCCAGTGAAACTCTTCAAAGACTCATCAGTCATCTCATAGTAGAGAGAGATACCAGTGGACTTGATGGTGATACCACGTTCTGCTTCATCAGCTCGCGTATCAGTCATACGAACATCACCAGCAGATTCTTGTGCAATAATACCAGCAGCAGCAACAAGTGAATCCGTAAGAGTAGATTTCCCTGATAAAAAAAAAGTTTTATGTTGATATATCAACATTAATAAGCCATAAAAACAGAGCAATATGAGAATAAAAGATTCATATACAACGAACAATTTAAGAAGAAAAAAAAAAGATGAGAGAAATACCATGATCGACATGGGCAATAACAGACATGTTACGGATGTTGTGTTTACGATCCATAATTTTCCGTTGCTCTTCAACTGTGAACTTCACCTGCAAGATAAAAAAAAAATATCCGTTTATATAATTGTCACACGAATGAAAAAAAGTATCACCACGCCGATTAGAAAATAAATAAGAAGAAGGCTTTACCATTGTCACTTGCTTTGTTTCTCACGAGAGCGAATTCTCTGCAGAAAAAAAAAAAAGAGTGACGTGTTTTAGAAGAAAAAAACGAAACATATAAATATAATTCGTAAGAAAAAAAACGAAACATATAATTCGCAATCAAAGCTTGAATCCATAGATGAATCAAGAAAATGAGTAACAACAGAAGATAGATTAGAAGAAAAGAGTAAAAATCAACCAAAAAAACGTGACACCCTACACAAGAAAGAAAAAGTTGCACGAGACAGTAGAAGAGGAAAAGTAGACAGAGCGTTATGTATTTATAGGTAATTAATTGGGTTGCTTACATTATAATAATCTAGGGTTTTACCTAAATGGGCTGACTTAATTTTTGTGTTATCCTAAATGGGCTGCCGACCCTCGTAGATGAATAGTAGTAATTCGTAAACCAAGAGTTCTGAATTCGTGAGCCAATTCTATTGGGCTTTTCAATGCGAGACAGAGCCCAATATGGGACTCAACAGATTCGTAAGCCCAATGTTTTCTGCTCTTCTGGTAGCAAGCTAGTAGTTTCTGTGAGGTTTTTTCGCTGCTGGGACTCACCACTCACGGATTTGAACTGTCTGTGGATTGTAGAAGTTGGATACAATGTAAGATTTTTTCTGGGAAAGTAGATGAATCCAAGCAAGTAAAATCAATCGTTTCCTCTCCTTGGGACCAGTTAGGGTTTGAAGTTGGTTTAGGGTATTACGAAGCTGGCAACTCTCAGCAACAAAGGACCAAAAGAGTCCAAAGATTTGATTTGGGTTTTCTATGCGCTCGATAAAATTAAGCCCAATTCATATGTGGACTTGTTTTTTTTTTCCGACAGGTGGACTTGCTTAGTTTTGTAAAAGTCTACGAGGTTTTTTTTTACACAAAAATAAAAGTCTACGAGTTTTTCCTGATTTAATTAGCATTAATTTCATTATTTGCAACAATTTTATTGTTTTTATATCTTTCTTTTTGTGTTGTTGTTGTTGTCATCACAGGTACAAATTAAAGGGATACCAAGACAAAATACGATAATACATATATATAAAGTGCATTCATACATGTCTACATGAATAGAAAGCTGATAATACAAAACGTCCAAGTAATATTTTACTAGTAAGTTAACTAGTTTAAAGATCTAACTAAGAGAAGAAGGTGGGAAAGCAAATTCCACAACCGATCGAAGCTCGTCCCAATTCTCGTAGGTTTCTTCGTGAATGTTATCGTTGGAGAAATGTTGAAACGAATTATCAACGTGTGTGGTGTCCATGAGAATTGGCTTGTTTTGATGTTGATGAGGCGTTTGTTGAAGCTGGAAAACGCTTCTCTCGTAATTCCCTTCGCCTTCCCTTACGTTGATCACATTGGTACTACTACTTTCATAGTCCCCAAAATTTATATAATAAGCTTCTTGGTAATTAGATTGTTGCTGCTTCACGCGTTTGCCATTTGCTAATTCTCTCCAGTCTGGAGTGTATTTTCTACTAGACACATTTCTCTTGAATATCCGACATAACGTCCATACTTCCTGCAACCATATAATAAGAACCAACGATGAGTGTTCTTTCCCAAACCCAAAAAAGCTTATAGTGGCCAAACCATACATGATCATGACAATCAAGCGATAGCAAACTTACTGCGTGTAGCAAGGAAGTTGGAGTAGGGTTAGAGTGTGTAGGGCCACCGGGGATAGTGTCATTGGCTGTGGGGAGACGAAACTCGTGCATCATCCAATCCGTCTTGCTTCCTTTCCCGGCGCTTCCAAGGTAATAAACGAGTGTCTTCTTTAGACCGATCACGGCTTTATTGGATCCATCGGAATAGATAGGCTTGTCTATCCCTGTGGCTTTCCAGAAACCGGAACCAGTCACTCGGTTCGGTCTTATGCTGTTTCTATATTTCCTTCCTCTCTTGCAGAAGAAGTAGCTTTCCTTCTCCGTATTCCTCGACCCTTCAAACAAAATTTACATTTGATCATCGGTTTATAACAATAATTTATGTGTTAATTTTACTTCACAAACATGCATACAAGACTTTACGTTTCTTTTTCTCATAAAAGTAAGACCTAATATATTATCTATTTATGTGTTTGCATGGTTTAGATTGCAATTAGCAAAGAAAAACAAGAGCGAGTAAAACAAACTTACTTGGAAGATCCCACGGATCGAATTTATAGATATCGATTTGGCTAACAATCTCATCGATCTTGCTTGGTTTTTTTAGAAGTACTTTCTTAGAGAGATAATACCCTACAAGCTCCTCGTCCGTTGGATGAAACCTAAACCCTGGAAGCTTTAACACTTCCTCATCTTCTGATTCTCTTGTGTTGTCCCGTGATTCTATCATCTTCTCCATGGCTTTGATTTTTCTATTTCCTCCTTTTTGCTCTTTGGACTCACATATAAGAATCTTCTTGAGATTATATAAAGAGAGTTTATGTCGTGTGTGTCTATCTATGATAAGGTCGATTTGGTCAAGTCATTTCTGTTGACTTAGTGATCCTTTGTAATCAATGATCCGACCCGGTAAAAGTCTTTCGGGCTTGAGTTTTTAGAATGAGTCTTTTCGCATCAATACGTGGACCCAATTAATATGACGCTTTTACCTTTCATATTATTAGGACGCAAAGGAAAACGCCAAGGAGAGAACTGACTTTTGACACCACTATTTATTTTTTGTGTTTCCTCTTCCAAATGTCTGACGAGGATTCGATGTTACAAACATTAATTTCTTCTAGGCCCATCATTAGTTGTTTGTATATTATATTCTTGGTCACCACAAAACATCTACTAATCATCATGACGTTAAACGCATATATCCGACTTTGGGATCGTAAAGGTAAGATTTGTATTGCTTCGTTTGGAGATTTTAACTTGGAGTCTTGGAGTGATCATCAAAAGAAAAGAAAAAAAATATGAATATTCTTACAGTTTTCTATTTGGTAGTTTCTCCGTAATTGATAATGACAGAGCCACCTAATAAAAACCGAATATTACCCTTCAGTTCCTTTCTCACTGGTTATTGTAGTTATTATAGTTAAGCTTAGTTTTTTGGACATGAAGTAACTGGTCTTTTAACTCGTCTCTTGTCGCTTTATTTTAATATAGTTGCAACTGATAACTACAGCTACGGGATGGTTCATAAACCGTCGTACCAATTCCGTGAAGCTTATTCTACGTTCTATTTATTTAGGGAGTAAAAAAGAATCACATGTTTTTACATACAACAACTAGAATGATGTAGTTTACCATGAAAATTTATTGGATATTTCCCACTACAATTTACAACCAGAAATTTCTGAAATTCTAGGACTAGGAGTGGGCTAATTTTTAAGTGACAATTACACTTATTTTGAATTGGTCAAATTTGTTTACAGTTTCAAATATATTCATATCTTCTCCTTCTATAATAACATTAACTTCTATATATTTTTTGGATGTTCACGTACAAATCCAATCAAAAATCACATTTACGCGCATAAAATTTTAAGTTATATCTAGATCCAATTAATAATTGAAAGTTTAAATTAATTAACAACTATACTTTCAAAGATTGGAATATCGGATTTCTTCGTTTATGTTAATCTTATTATACATCTTCATTCGGATTGATATCTCAACAATTAATTATTTGACGTCCAGTCCATATATATATATATCCATTATATCATAACTTAAAATTGTTATGGATGATAATTTTGATTTCATAAGATGAAATCGACGGTGATCCCAGAATACTTCCCTCTCAGAATTTGCCCTGAGATTTTAAGGGCCAAACTCCAAAAATAATTTAAGGATATTTTATAAAGAAAATATTAAAACTAATTATCGTAAAAATAGATAAAATGGGAATCGTTTTATAAATAAATTTTGCTGAAGAATGAAGAGGCATGGCCTGCCCCAACTCCAGTCAAAAATCACATTTACGCATAAGTTATATCCCCCACTATCTCACTGAGCGACCTTACGTTTTTGCAACATGCCTTACTTTTTTTTCTGGAGAATGCAACATGACTTACTAAACCACATGTTCTTTCTTTTTCTTTTTCAAATATGAGAAAAATCATATTACATCCCGGTGGTAGTTGTTGTAATTTTATTTGCAAAAATCACGAGGCGAAATTTCAAATTTCGATCGGAGGAGCGTGCTTGGTTTATGGATTTATAAGGAATTGAAAATCCAAACAAAAATTATTTGTTATTCAATCATTGATTTTAAAATCCTAATTAAAATCATGTGTTATTGGTTCTATGATTTATAAATACTAGTTAAAACCTATGTTATTCGTTTAGTCATTTGTTTTTAAATTTGAGAATCCAAATTATGTTTTAAATGGAATTGAATGGATTTAAAAGAGAAAAATAAAAAGATTCAAATCCATGGATAAACACATGTTATTTCAAAATCCATATATTTTGATTTTATAATTAATAGAGATTTTCAAATTCTATATGGATTTACAAATCAATAAACTAATAACACTCCCTCAAACTGTGGAAAGTCAATTAAAAAGTAGTGGAAATACTAATATAGATAATTATTGTTACCATAATTATTATATTCAGAAACCGAAATTTCCACTGCATTAAAGAATTTCCCATTAATACACTGCTCATTGTCAAAACTCACTCTACGAAAACATTATTCAAGTAATGTTGGTTCTGACTTTTAAATTTCTTGTCCAAATCTTTACCACATTTCTAGATAAGCTTTTGGTAAAAGTACCCGGTACCAATAATAGCACAACTAGTAAAATATTTCAAATACTAAAAGTCAACTTATTCAAATGATATTTAGAAAAATATATATTAATAAATATTTGAGTCCCCAATATGATGAAGATGTACATGTCTAAACCTACAAAATTTTCTTTATTTAAAAAAAAAAGATTTTGGTGAAGGAATCATTCTCCATCACAAACATTTACCTTTCAACAAATTACCAAAAAAAAAAAACATTTACCTTTCAACAAATTTCATTGGAATATCAAAAAGAACTAATACTCTCTTTATCTCATATTATAAGATGTTTTAACATTTTTTATTGTTTCATTTTATTAGGTATCTTACATGTTTCTAAACAAATTTAAACGCATTTTAATATTGTGATCAGTTTTGTTCTATATTATGATTGGTTTGATTGTTTTTAACTAAAATGTTAAATGATTTTTGTAAAAAAAAAAAAAAAATCGAAGTTCTTCATATGTGTGTGTTTCTAGCCAAAATATTTTTATAAAATTGGACGTGCAGAGAAAATATTAACTAATCTCGTTCTGATATAAAATAGAAGTAATAAACATAGGGAAGACATGGAAACGAGAGTAATTTAATACTATGAATTCGGTTTATAAAATTATTTGAAAGCTGGACAGAAAAAAAAATGAATATAAGTTCCCCTATTTATTGTTTGTTTCAATTTGTTGGTCAATTCGTAGCGGCTGGTCAAGTCAAAGGATAATTCAACCAGAGTCACTCAATGGTTGACCCCAAGTTGTTCTTCTTGGACATCTTCCTCTCCATCTATTATAAACTTTTTTCGACACTAAAAAAACTCACGATTATTAGTTTGCATGGAGAAGAAAAATATTATCGGGGAAAAGTAAACCATAACACATATATTCATTTTATGTATTAGTATATAACATATTTAGACATTTAGTCATATATATATAATATACTTCAAGAGTTTGGTCTACTCTCTTCAAAATATAAGAAACATTGGAATTTGTAACTATAAGAATATATGCGATGCGGAAGCTAACGTAACGGATCCAAAATCAACAGAAAGAATCTTGGCTCTGATACCATGATAAATTGATGAGAGTGAAAAACACAAAAGTGTTGTGGAATAATTATAATAGACTCTCATGAGAATAATATTACAAGATTGGTGATATATATAGAGATAAAGGCTAAACCTAATTTCCTAAATTAAGATAAAGATAAATGTAAATTATACTTTAGAGATAATGGTAAATATCATAAACTAAGATATTAACAAATATCATGATCTTCTAGATTCTTCTCGATCTTCATGATTTCTTTATTTTTGGGCTTCTCATCTTGATTTCGGTCAATCTCCGGTTCTCCCAATATATTTAATCAGGTTATTTATATAAAATTATTCCAATTTGTGGTCAGTTAACGAGTTTTAATTGGGCGTGAGTGGAAAATTTTAGACTTCACAAAAAGTAAAAAAGGAAAACTGAAGAAAGATGCAATGGCACGAGCTTTGAAAATCCGTATAAATCTTACGTCACACTGTTTGAAGTACACGATTCATCATTCATTCATGTCATAACCAGAAAGTCCAGAAACCCTACCGCTTACGTCACATGGACTTTCTTCAAAGTTGAACCATATTTTTTTTATAGGTAAACGGTGTCGTTTCAATATAATTTTTGTTTCTTTTTCTTATAGTCAAGGCCTCAAGGGAAAATTATGTACGACCTAGAAATATCGTATGCCATGAATCCAACAAGTCTAAATCGCAAATATAGTATGCCATGAAAAAGAGTTGAAATATGGAAATAAGAAATTTAAATTAACTTTCAAAATGTGGGGAAAAGTCCCCATATATAAATTGCAAATCCGTGGAGAAATTGGCAAAAAGATATTAAATCATTGCAGTAAAAAAGCATTAGGTGGGTCAAAGTCTGGGACTTTGAAAATTTGGTCAAAGAACCCAACCATTCAACCTCATATGCATCAAATTTCATTAAGATCCATCAAGTTTAAGAATGCACACGAAGAAGGCAACTTTTATTAATTTATAAATTGTACGAAAATAAAAACATTGGGATCGAACAAGGATAAAAAGTTACATCAAAAAGAAAAGAAAACAGAAAAGGAAAACAACAACTCCTTGTAACGTGGGAACTGAGGATAGAAAAAGAACAAGGATAAAAAGGAAACGTGGTCGCGTATTTGTGGTTGATTTAGTTACGTGGCAACTGCTGATAGTATCACTCGGCACGTGCGAAGTCCAGAGATTTTTTTCCGTCGTGTGGTTGGCCGAAGAAGTTATTCATGTAGTCTTGAAACAAAATCTCCTTGTAACGAGCCACTCCGTCGCGTTTCACAACTTCCGGCAACGGACCGATCTTCTCGGAGGGATTAGGTGCCGTGAAAATGGGCACAGAGACTCTTGATCCGATGTTTGTAGTTCGAACCCTATGCTCAGCACTTTTGTACTTCCCATTGCTCAAAATCTGTTGAAATATTTTTATATTTGTATTAGAATTTCACCCCATTCATTGTAAATTCTTTTTGACAAATTACCTGCAAAGTGTCGCCGATGTTGATGACCAAAGCTCCATGGACAGGAGGGATCTCGGCCCATTCACCGTTGTCTAGTTTAACGTAGAGACCGCCAATGCCGTCTTGTAATAAAACGGTCAACATTCCCATGTCGGAGTGACGGCCGACGCCAATGGTCAGCTCCGGGCTCGGACAAGTGGGGTAGTAGTTCATGTTGACCATCTTGGTTCCCATCAAACCATTCATTTTCTCTTCTTCTAGTGTCACTCCAACATTCTCCATCAGAATGTTAACTACATTTTTCACCATTTCCATCGATGATTTTAGGAACTCAAGTGCCATCTCCCTGTCAAACATATATATTTTATGTTATGGTTTATGAGTTTATATATTAAAACCAATTGAAACAAAATATGATGTATTTATATCAATATAAATTTAGTCCATATATATACCTGCATGGTTGAGGCCAGTGTTGAAGAGCCTCACTGTCATTGGTGTAAAGCATGCTCACATAATCCTTCCACTCAATCGCCTTCTCCTTATCTGGTACGAAGCTCGTTCCGTACTTAACCAGCTTGCTTGGACTCACTTCTTTCAGGTACATGGCTTTTTCCTCAGGAGCTTGTGCAAAAAACTCATGAGCGGACGATTTTAGCAATTCCAGCAGCTCCACCGAAACACCATGGTTCACCACCTGCCATTTGAATTTCGTCCTCAAATCATATAGTCTTCTCTCATTTATAAGCAGTAAACTTTATTTTTTAGGATATCTAACGTGAGTTTATAAGTATTCTCTCTGTTCTTAGAAGAATGATGTTTTGGATTTCACATAACTTAAGAAAAAGTAACTTTTTATTTTTTAATTATTTGTTTGTTAGTTTAATAATTTTAATTTCACCTCTCACTTCTCCCTATTGGTTACAAATGAAAGTAATAATGATGTTGTTACAAAACATCAAACTTTGTGAAACAAGAAAAAAATACAAAACATCAAACTATTAGGAACATAGGAAATAGTATTCAGGTCAAATTAACGTGCATGTATAGCTCGTTCCTACACCAACCTAAATGCTATTACCTGGAAGAAGCCAAGTGTCTCGGCAGCTTCGACGATCTGCTTGGCCACCTCCTTGTGTTGTGGGCCGTCTAGCTTGGAAAGATCGATAGGCTGGGTAGCCTCACACGTAAGGGCTTTTTGGGTCGGGATTCGCTCAGAGAGAGGCTGGACGA